ATCCTCTAGGCCGCTTTCCGGGCACGTCAAGGTTGAAGCCGATCACCATCAAAGACGAGCTTCGCGCATTTTATCGACGATGGGCGCTACACCCTGATGACTTCATTACTTATGCGGTCTACTCACTTTACTCCGGCTGTCCAACGCAGCATCTTGGTCTTAATCACAGGCCAGCACCCAGCGCCGTAAATTGCGACCAGGCGGATGACGGTTGTGTAGATCTTGGATTTTAGACGCTCACTCAGGCATATTCTCATCGCAGGGTACGCCAGTCATCGAGCGCCACTTCAACCACGCTGCATTCACGCGAGAATTCGTTTCGAAAACCAGGCTGCCGTCAGATGCAGTTGCCGATCCCAGATACTTGAATATTGTTGTCCGCGTGAGCTCATTACCATTGATCTCTATAAAGCCTAACTCGCTCGGATCGGTGGTCAAGTACTCAGTCGTTTTGACGTTAAGCCTAAGTCAGAACATAGCCAGACGGTAGGACTAGGCTTGCGCCTGTTGCTCGAGCCCGTTTTTGTCTTCGCTGGCGAGCATCACATCATCGGCATAAAGAAGCGTCTATGGAGCTGGTTCTGGATGTCCCTTGTAATGGTATCCATGACGACAACAAATACATGGTGGTGGGGATGATGCCGAGCCTTGCTGTATTCCAACTGAGATAGGAAAATCCTCCGATATGCCCGCTGCCGTTTGCACTCGGCTCTTTGGACTAGAGTAAAGGATGCGTACCCATTCAATGATGGTGTAGCTCTTCAGAGAATCGATGAGCTCTTCAATAGCGCCTGCTGTCGTAAGGCATAGCTCCGCGGAACGCGACCAAAAGCCTTTTCTGAGTATAGAAAGGCAAGATGTACCGGTCTTCATTTCTCGTGATGCTTTTCTAGAAGAGGGCGAGTGGCATCGATGGTGCTACAACTAGCAATGAAACCACATTGGTTAGTGTTCAGCTCGACGATATCACGGATATGGCTGTCTACAATTTGCTCAAAGATTTTCATGCCGTGCGAGGGCAAGCGAATTGAATCGTAGCAAGCGCAGTTCCCTAGACTGCCCTTCTTCTTCCAAATAGTAATCTTCATGCTCTGTTTTCAGCTCTCAGGCACCTTCTCCGCAACGACATGGGTAAAAAATTCTGTCAACCATCCTGCTAAATTCCAGCCTTTCGTTTTCCACAAGTCCGCCGCAAGGTCGTAAGAACCAGTTGCTTTGCCTGATTTCATCTTCTTCAAAGCCGTAATGGTCTCATTTACGGTTACCTTCTGAACGGGACCGTGTACTGGCCGAGCGCAAGGGATGGCGAGATGAGCGAATTCGACTGTTGAGATGTTTTTGAAGTACTATCGCCATAGTGTCAGTGTTTGCCTGCGGTCCGTCAGGAGGTGACCGTTTTCGTCCTTTATGCCGGAGAGATTTTCTATGTATATCCTCGGTCTGGCGATTGCGGGTCTTTGGGAGTCGGTAAACGTAGCGCTCGCCATCACTAGACTCGAGTTTCTCAACAAGAAGGGCATAATGAGCTGCCTTCTCAAAAGCAACGGCCCTCTTCGCCTCTTTCTTCGCTATCTGGCAGCACTGCCAGTTGTCAGCTCTTTTCGATGAGGAATGCATGGTTTTGCTTTTTCTTCTCACATCTTTGTCTCTGACATGGTCCGTCCACAGCCATACTTGCTTACCAACCTTTCATGCCGAGCTCCAACAGCGCAAAATTCGCTCCGGTTATCGCTTCGACAGCGTCCTCCTAGGTTTCGTCGACAGCCGTTACCGCTGGCAAAAGAATGCGGGAGACGACGACCGCTACTTTCTCCTTCAGTCGCCACCACTTGATTTTCGTTGCTCCACACCTTTCAGCTGGTTTCGGTTTCGGCGGGGTGATCTTTAGCGTGCAAATCTGTGGTCGGTGTTGTGTTGCGACCGTTTCATAAGATGCTGTCTTCGCATCTTTTGCGAGCTCTTGACCGCGGGGCATTACAAGGACAAAATCGATTTGTGCTCTGTGCTCACCGCTATAGAAGGTGATGAGATGAGAATCACGTTTCCGAAATTTTTTGTTTACATGGCGAGATTATGCGAGTCTGCATATTCGAGAATTCGCTCGCCATCAGCGTTACGTGACCCGTATGCGAAACCCCCATGGCAGCTATAACCGTCTTTCGTAGAGTCCACGTGACCGTTGAGGTCACCTGCGACAACTATGGCTTCTTGTAACGGTGCTTCAGCTGTCTTTTCATCGAGCAGGTTCCAGACTTGTCTTTGGTTTGCTCGGCGCATCCAGTCTGTGGAGCATACGCTGAGAAGAGATGGTATTTTTGGCGTTCGATACTACGATGATCTTCATTAAGCGGTCAACGAAACGTTCCACGCTTACTGTGCTTACTAATTACGGAACCGTTCTGAGACATTTATCACGGACTTGGACTTGCAACAGGACCACCTCGTGTCCAGCACTGCACAGAAATCAATTCGTCGACGCTCTATAGCTTCTGCTAACTTGTACAAGCGTCCCCTTAACGTGCCAACACTTAACGTCGCAACGCAACGGGTCCTCCATACGTTGTGTGACTTTCGGACTAGCCTAGCTGCATCTCGATGCCGTTCTTGCACCGATGATCCTCGCATACTTTTCACGCTTGCGAGTGCGCGTCGGCTCCCTCGGACGTCGTAGCATCATCGAGATTCCTTTAGTGACATTACCATTTTCGATGTGACATGGGTATTCGTAGCCGGCCTGTCGCTGGGGCCTGTCGCCTGCATTCTAATGTGGGTGGTCAGCTCAGCCCACAGAGTGAGCAGTTTCTAGTGACACCTGGAGGAACGGACATCACCACCACACTCTAGACGACTATCGAAGATTTTTGGGCTTAACTCTCACCGGTATCTATCGATTTTTTCAAGAGCAAAACTGTCCCGAAACATGACTGTGAACCTCGAACTTTTACATCCACCCTCTTTGGTGCACATTCCGCTCCACGCATTCAGGCAACATGAACGCTGTTACAATTTTTCAGCTAATGCTCCATGCACCTGAACTTACACTCTGTCTACTTGAACAGTTGAGCTCTAACTTCTGACAGATAATATCCACAATCTTCATGGCTTTGAAACGTTTTTAAACAGTCTCGCCCATCTCGGTGGACATCTCGCCTGCTTTGAAAGTTCAGTTCACCATCATTCTGAGGTACGCAATTTCAGTGAAATAATGGAAATTATGGTACAGAATAGTGCAAAGGAGGTAAAGAAAGCGCGAAAATCAACGGATTCCAAAAATATAAGTCTTCAAGATCATGAGGACAGAAGCGAAAACAAGGGGGTATTTGTATGATATTTCAGTCGCCGCAATAAAGTGAATAGCTGCTTTAAGAGGTCAGAAATATCATAAATGCCTTCTGGTGGGCGCATTCATGGCACTAGTGTCAAAGTTCATGGGTCCGGGAACTTCTCCCCTAACACGGCGTCGCACACGCCGCACCCGCCGCCTATCGCAGGATTGCGATGGAAGATTGGAGCGCGCAATTTGTGAGGTAGGGAGTCTTTTAATTCTTTGAATTGGCTGGCCGCTCTTTTTAATTCCAATGCGGACTTGATCGTCGTTTATATAGGAGGAGTCATTTCAGTTAATCAAGTATAATTAACATGAAAACTAAAAAGAAACAGAAGAAAAAACGATAAAATCCAATCAAAAAGCAAGTCAATCAAGGAAAAATATCGCGTCCTATCGAACGGCGGGAGCCGGGGTGAGTACGGTAACTGCACTGACATTTGCCGCATGCCGAAGGGAGAATGCCGCAATCGGGGAGAAGTTCCGTTAACCAAAGTTCATAGCATAAAATAAATATGCGTTGCCGTCTGTAACGGTCTAATGCCTCCCGCGTGAGCGTACTACTGGTCACCGTCCTAACGCTTCAATGTGAATGGTGCAGTCACAACACGGCCACTTTAGGGTGTGTGCCTGTGTTTGGCCCCATTTTTATCGTGAACTGTGCCTCTAACAAAGCCATACTCTGTCACCGTTTAGTTGCCTTCCTCCTACCTAAATACAGTTCCAGAGATTGCAGAGATGAATTGTAGAGGTTTCAGAACGATTCTGATGATCTTGTTTTTCGAGATGCTTATTTGAAGGCACAGATCCTAAGAAAGGGTAGTTCCGATTCAAGTTGGTCGCCATCACAAAAATGCCTGCACCGGTGTTTTAGAGGCATAAGATTTAATAATTAGTGCGAATGTTGGCAAATCACAAATCGCTACATCTCGTACTAGTTTAGTCGATTCGTTTCTCAAAAGCACAGTTGCCGTTAATTTTGAGATATCTTTTCGAATTGAAAAGCAGAAGCACTGGTTGGGAATAGTGCATCGGTGACGAAAAGACTGGAAAGTCATCCAGAATTCGTTAAATATAAGGGTTTCGACGGTCAACACGATGCCGTTTGAACTCGTCCAGCTTTGGTGTGGCATACAAACGATACAATACTTGAGCCCTTAGATTGCCCTTTTTTGGCCGGTCTTCGACATGAGAGTGCCACTTATGGTGAGGGGCCATAGATTGCCATCCTGGGGGATATCTTAGGAACCTTTTTTATCGTGAAACCTGCCTTTAAGAACAAATGATGTTGCCTTTCATTCAGTACGGAAAAAGCAAAACACATATGCTGAATTATCATGAAAACAATGACTTCCAAAAACGGATAGGCCAGAGCGATTATTAAATTCTTTTAAAGGAAGGCACTGAGATCCTGTGATATCCTACCATCTTCGACCCACCTCTTTTCTAAAGTAAAGTGATGCTGCTCTCCTTTCAAACCAGAAAGCGTCAAGGAAACATATTTGAGGCTCAGAATAGGAAGGGAAATTTCCTAAAGTCAGTTAGTGGCGGAGGAATCATTAAATTAACTCGTCAGTATTTACCTTTAAGCATGCGGCTCTTATGCTAGCACGCGTTAGCATGACAGCATATTGTAAAAAACCTGGTCACTTTGATGTGTTGAAAGTCAGGAGCATTCAACACTCATATCATTTTCACTCCACAACAAGGATTTCGTAGCTGTTCGCAGGTATGACCTGACTGTAAACCGTCATCTTGGGTAATTTCATTGTGATCCAGTTTTGCTGGCGGTGCATTTCATAGCCTTTGCACGTGAAGTGAACGAGGACGAGATTGAGAATGCCTGTCTCGAATAAAATGGAGCAACTGCACAAACCGCTCACGAACCGAAGCTATTGAAAAACATTTCCGGTGTCGATTTATTTCAAGACAATTGCTTACGAATGCTGAAAGAGCCATACTGAGCCATACCAGGGACCAATGTTATGTCAAAGGGAAGTCTTTCTATATGTATTCGACCACATTGTTTCGATCGGATGGTTCCTCAGGATCACTTCTCCAAAGAAATCTGCACACGTCGCGGTGTGACTGCGCCATTATTCAGTGACAACTGATCTTTCTGTTCAGAGGACGCGCTAAATACAATACCGAGTGGATTATGCTTATATACTCTCCACAGAGTGTGGCATATAGCAGGTCCGTGTAGTCTCACTCACAGGCTGGGACACTTTTTTGAGACTTTTGCGAGTGTATCATTCGAACAATGGGCCGTTATAGTCATGTTGTAATTACTAGCAAGATCTACGGCATTCCCGTCCAGAGGAAATGGCGCGCCATCCGATCGACACTCATACTTACACAGTTTTGCATATTGTGAAAGATATTTGTGCGACATCGTTCTTTTTCTCTTCTTTTGCCCAAATACTCCAAATACCGAGGCCTTCATTTCGAACATGTTTCCGAGCAGTTCTGCACCTATAACCATCGTATTGCAGGATATTGAATATGTGCCTGTGCAGCCCAAGCACGCGACAGAAGCATAATTCAGGTAATCACGACTATTAATCACCGTCGTACACTGCACTTCACTGTTGAAATTGATTATGAAGTTCTTCGTTTCGCATTCGTCATATATATATATATATATATATATATATATAATAGTAGCGCTCGAAAATATCCGGCCGAACGCTTTCAGGCTTTTTCAATCATAACTTTTTTCTTAGTGGAGCGGATCGCGCGAAATTTTGATATGTTTAACTAAAGCATATTTCAAACTATCCAACACTATTTGACTGCAAAGCACTAATATCCACATGACTAAGAGCAATGCTTGTTGCGGTAGTAGATTTCGCTTAAGGCAAAGTTATTGACGTCTACAGTTATTCGCACCTTATGTGCATTATTCTTCTCTACTGTGTTCGGCGCTGCGCTCGTACACTTCAGACCTCGCAAAAAGGAAGGAAGTTCCAAGGAGAACATCGTCTGTATTTCCAGTTGATTTTGAGCTCAAGCTCTTTGGGATATCTGGAATACGATCAGATTCCAGGTTGAAAGTGGTAAATATTCACAATACTCGTATGCTGTAATATTGAAATTTCGCATCATTAGATCCAGTCGGAAAGAAGTCACGACTGAAAAGTACAACTGAAGAAACATTTCGCCAAATGCTTTTGAGCGCTACTGTATATGTGTATTGGTGATGAATAAACTGCTCTGCGCTTGTCAGTGTATAAAGGAGAGTGGTTCCAGGGCTTCGCAGAGTGAATAGGACGAAAACAAGATTCAGGATAGACGTTAGGTCCGTGCAGCAGTCCTGCGCGTTTGTTGCATTTAATATTACAATAGGACCCACCTTGGGACCGCGCTCCCGTCCTAAAGTCTGGAGATTACGGGGATAAGTACTCGGACAATCAAGAATTCTAGTGCACTGGACGGAAACCAAGGCACATCGTAAAGAAATATACGGATTCGATGGTTCATCCCGATTGATTTATCGTCACCATGACTATATTATTTGGGATTCTGAGTGGTATATGTCATTTTATACGTCTATAACTACGCATTCCACGAATTCCCTCTGGGAAAGAAGATAGAGAAAGTGAAAAGTGCGAAAAAGATTCAAATGTATCATAGAGGTCTTCTATAGGCGATATGCGGTGTGAATACGCAGGTTAATGAATAGAGGGTCAGTTACCAAGCTGCAATAAACTGGGAAAGTAGGCTCGCTCTCTCAAATAAGGGACATAGTATAATGTTAACATTGCAAGTTAGCCTTGAAAGGGCGCCCCGGTCATTCTTTAGTGCTTTTGTTCTAAATACGAATACGATTGGAATTAATACGATTGCTAACAAAAACTACGGTACACCTACACCAAAGTAGAATCTGGATATAAGAACTATTTTTCCGCAAATTTCTATAAATGTCAATGTCAATGCACGAAATGTCCGCTAGAAGCCCAACCACAAAAGCAGTTTTCCGTCAAATGTAGCACAATAATGAGTCGAAAAGCGTTCAACATATAATTATTGCGAAGCAATGCGCTATAGTTTAGGACTCGTCCGCTCAAAATGAGCCGTGTGGTATTGGTGGCAATCGTTGGATAAATCCACGAATTTTCAGGTATAAAAGTTATCAGTCGGATCGCCCGGCTCACAGCGGGCTTCTTCCTTTTCATATTGAAATTGGCCCACCGCCTGCAACACTTACATATTTTTTGCAGCTTGAACATCCTTCATATTTGAACGCTCTGATCTGGGAGAACAGGAGCTACTGAATTCCTGTCAGAAACAAGCATCAGCTTTTGACCCACTTCGGCCCCCACTTGATCATACAGGACTCGGTATAGTCCCCACTAATTCCAGCTTGATTTCATGTCTTTACCTAAATCGCATTCGTTCCGCACACGATTCTCTCTCTCCCTACATTCGCCCCTTCTCAATCGCACTACTCACGAGTGGAGTTCATTTCTGTCGCTTCCTACCACATATCAACACGGTTCTCATACTGCCACCTAACTCCTACGGAATTTGAACACTCCCAGTCAAAACTGACTGCATTTTCGATCACGCTCCGCCCCTTGTGGGCGGAGTCTATCTTGCCATCCACTCTAAGTATTCCCGTCCTGCTTCCTGAAGCCCTTTCGAAAATGAGATCTCTAGGTCCAAATTAATATTTTCGCTCACGCTCGCCTCATGTGAGCGAAGTTTAGTCCTGTCATCTTTTACAAGTGTTCCCATTCTTTCCTGCACTGCTATCAAATTTATGAGTTACGAACTTCCGCCCCAATATTAATCTCACGCAAGCCCACCCACCTGTGGGCGAAGTCTGGTCCTGTCACCCATGGGTGTTTATATCCTGTCGCCTGCACTCTTACCAGGCTGTGGGTACTTGGGTACGACTGACATAAATTTAGGTACGATCGAGATAGCTTAACATCTAGTTGCAAAGTGTCCTCAATCGAACTTACACTTATCTTGATTACGCACCCCGCCTCAATCGTACATTACCTCGTCTTAGTTATGAGAGTGATGGCGTGTGATGTAAATGGTGAGAAAGTGGAACTTCAAGAAAATTAAGGTTTTCAACGATAAAATTTTCATCGTCTTCGGTTTGAAGGGTTTTGATACCATGCAAGATAGAAGAAATTTCCCTGTGGATTCTCGGAAGCAGTAGAATTGTCCTCGAGACGCATAGTTAGCTTCTAAGCAAGGCTTCTTTTCTGAAGTCAGTAGTTGCATATAAATCACTTACCCACCAGGTCAAGTAGTGGTTGATGACCTTTTTTCGATGTGCGGAATTTAGCCTGAATCATTGTTCTGTTCCGTGAGAGGTGTTAAATGGTCTAAATGATCTCCGGAGGACGTTCAATGACCTTTCAAAGACGAGATGCCCCATATCAATCATCTAAGTCGCTTCTATAAATGCTGTTTGATATCACAGATGAGTAAAAATTTGTAAGGAAGGACCAAATGAATATTTTTTACATCCTACACGAATTTCATTTTCGAGTCTGCTAACTTTTTCTATTTTATATAGTTAGAAAACTCTGAGACCGCACGTATTGGAAATTCTCCTGTCCACAACCCTAGTTTTCTGTTGAAATATCACTTTCTTCTGTAATCGCTCTCATAACTAAGATGAGGTCATGTCTTATCGAGTAGAGGCGCATAATTAAGATAAGTTCAAGTACGATTGAGGTCACCTCGCACCGAAAAGCGAAGTGATCTTAATCGTACCTAAATTTATCTCAGTCGTACCCAAGATCGCACACCCTTCTTACCAAGCTTGAGTTCTCTAAGACCACGAGAACAGGAGACAGAATTTCCAGTAAATACACGCACAAAAAAAACACGCACACACATGCCCGCACACAAGCATGCATGCATGCATGCACACACACAAACCAACAGACACACTTAGCGCATTACATGTAGCAGGATAGAATGTAAATGAAAAATTCTCTCTCCACGTCATCAGTTGGGAGGAAAAGCAAGCTGCGATGGGAAGCACTGCAAATGACCCTCATTTTGAATTGGAGATCAACTCACCTGTTAAACTTGTCGCCCCGTTGATCAACGATTTTCTTGAGCGTGCGTCAGTGGAGTCACCATTTGACCATGTCGCGAGCCAGCGTGCTTTAGTGGATCGCCCCAGCCAGAAGGGCACGAGGCACAGCAGTCATTTAGTCCAGAGCTTTCGTGAAGAAGTGTGAATATCGCTCTGAAGGCTGTCCAGGTGTTCGTTCGACGTCCCGAGGGATCCAGTTCGTACTCCAACGGTCATCACTATATCGCATGACGTGCCCGGCCCATCCGATTTTAGATTTCTTGGCGTATTCAACGACATTACCGATCTTCGTTCTTGGCAGAGCTCGGAACTCCGGAGTCCCTTCTGCACTTGCGTGTAAAGGGAAATTCAGAGCATCGTCCTTTCCAAAGCGCGTTGAGTAACGCTGACAGCATGTTCGTCCTGCCCTCATAAGGGCCTGAGTTTCCGTTTGTCTTTTTCACTACTCCCTCGATATTCTTGAACGTTCCCCACGTAACGCGTTTCCTTTTGCTCAGCTCCGGACCTACGTTATCCATCATGTTGACTTTTTGACCTAGATACATCTAGCTAGAGCATTCGGAGATGCTTGTTATGTTTAGCGTAAAGGAAGCATTAGGTAGGCATCTCTTTCTCACGAACGTCGTCTTCATTGAATTCATTTTTAGAAAGATCTTTAATCCATTGGCGACCGCGCCTTTTTAGCGTGTCTGACGTGTGGGACCGAGCGCGCTTTTCACGGGCTGCTGCTGTGGCCCGCTGGCGAGCAACACGGTATTAGGAACAAGTAAAATCTTTCGTAAGCGTTTCGAGCCGACAAAAAAGTTTTTTAAATGTGGCATGTAAAGGTTATAAGTCATACACACTATTTAGAGCTACGTTATGGCATCTAATGTTGATTGTTCAAAGGGAGTGAGAGTTTTTACCAAATCATTTCCAAATGCGACTCTGTCTAGACACGAGGAAGCAGACAAGATGAGAATGGCATGTTTCGAATCATCGAATAGCTCAGCAAAGTCCCATTACATCCTTTTCACATAAATTTGGTCACCTTTGGTTTTGCTCCTTTACCAATGCCCTCAGAAGTAACTTTCTTTTCTGTTATTACTAAAGTCAGAAGTATACGTTTCACAGACCGCTGTGCGTCAAGATTCCATCGTAGGTCATAAACGTGCTCGATACGTGAAAGGGTCGAAAAAATCGAAAATGAATGTTATACATGGAAAATAAAACTGTGGCCCGTATACGGGCCACGCGGTCGTCAATGGGTTAAACGAGTTCGGCCAACATTCTTTCCGCCTGCTCATGTTCGATGTCGTCTACAAAGCGGAGATGATAAGCAGAATCCGTCGATATTCACTTCCAAGACATCCCATTCCAAATGACGTATGAGGTTCTCGAGGGCGGCTCTGAAAATTTGGGTAAAGTGGCATCGCTCTACCAAACTCCTCTCTTTACGTTGGCAATGACTTCCTTGTAGAATGGTGAAATCCTGGTCGTAAAATTGTCGTAAAGCTCTAGGATGACGCGAGTGAAAAGCTTGTAGATTACAGACAACAGGCAGATTGGGCGATAGTTTGCCAGAGTTTTGGAGATAAGTGGTGGGAGGCTCTATAGATGTTCTGGTCGATCCTATCGTGACCGGGCGCCGTGCACGTCCTCATCGATGCGACGGGATGTCGAATTTCGAGAGAGAGACTGAAGGAGCGACATATCCGTCTGGTCTAAGGATGCAGGTAGGCAGGCAGACATGGCTGTCAAGGAGATCAGAGTAGAAGTCGCAGATTAGCTTCTCCATTGTTCTCGGAGATGCAGTAACTATTCTGTCAGGACGATAAAGGGGAGTCATTGTGGTCTTGAAATTGGCGGAGCCCCGCCGGGCTTTGCGAATGCTCTTCTCGGCCTCGACGGCTTCGTCCATAACTGCTGCTCTTCTCACTTTCAGATCTTACTTTTTCGCCTTTCATCATCGCTGCGTAAGTTAGGATGTTTGTTGATTTTTGCATGTAGCTTACGAGTTTCCACGCTGGAGGATCGCCTCGAGAGTCTTCAAAGAGAGTCGTCTCTTGGCTACTTGTGGGCTCTTTACTTTCCTAGCACTATCAAGAAGATGTTCAATGAGCCGATTATATTCTACAACATGTTGTCTATAACGGAATCTTTCCATCCGTTCGCAAGGAAAGCGAAGTGGTCCCAGATGATGGGGATCTTGGAGCTTCGTTTCCTAAACTTCATAGCTCTCTCTCCACGCAATGAGAAACAAAATCTAGTGTGGAGGAGACGAGAGTCCGACCCCGTGTAGAACTTCGGAACAACAGCGACGTAAGTCAGGCAAAATCTCTGATTGAAGACGATGTGGTCTACATCACTATGGAACTGTCCACCACGTGACTCCAATGCTAATCGCAAATGAGAGGGTTTTGGGAACTGTGAGTTACCATCTATAGAGTGGGTCAGCACGAGAAACTTGGACAATCCTTCACTCTGCTCATTCCATTCCATTTCCTGAGCCCCGATAGTAGCTCTTCAGCCGCTCTTCTGGGGCCAATTTTGGCATTGGAATCACCTACAATGTCTTCGGAGTGTGGTCTTCTCTAAGTTCAGATGCATGTGAAAAGCTCTTAGTTCTTCTTCTCCATAGCTTGATGTTGACGCGTAGTCAACGAAAATTCTCAGAGCTGGTGTTGAGCCACATCTTCTTCATCGCAAACGCCCGATTCGTATTGCTAAGCTTTCGTACAAATCGACGTTCGTGGCCAAGTGCGCCTTGACCGGGACACCTACAACGCCGACGCCTCTGCTGTAGCATGTTCCAAGGAACAGTTCCTCTCCAGTCTCGAAAACAGCGTTCAGCGTTCGATGCCTTCTCGTCTCGGTCAGTCCGATGACGTTGTACTTGATCTTCCTAGCTTGCATCATCAGGTCTTCTATCACGCTTTCGATGCTAGTGTCCTTACAATAAAAGTACTGATCGCCATATTAGTCCTTCTACTTGTGAGCATCCTGTTTTGGCCCTGTGAATTTGGCAGCCTCTACCGAGCGGTCCTACCCAAGGCTGCCGTGTTGAGGCCCCCCACAGGTTCAGGGTAAGGAGACCCAGTTATATCTGTTTTTGGCATGTACCCACAAGTAATTTGCCAGGCTTCAACGTGGCGACTGTGTTGACGTCGAGTGTCATCCAGCTATCACTGAGTGAAAGAGGGCTTCGATTGTGGAAGTGGCTCCGAATAGCCTCCTGGATGCTTCCGATTAACTCGAATGCAAGCCTCGGCTGGGTCGATAGCTAGGTACCAGCTGCACCCGCAGACTCTCCACACATGTATCCGTGGATACACCTGCAATATAGAGAAGGTATGAGGAACAGCACAGCAAAAACAGGAAGTCCATCTCCTGAATGCATCTGCATCTCTAGGCAAGCACCGACGACTCTTAAATGGCGAGTCACTCCCCTACACGCTCACTGGGGACGTCCTACGCAGCCTCGTCGCTAAGCGGCCGGGATCTCTCAGTGAGATAGAATCTTCAGTGAAGAAGGTCAGAACCTATTTGTTCACAAAAATATTTGCAAATTATTTCTAGAGGCAACCAGGTGTTTCCGCTAAAATTAGTCGCAGCGCATGGCGAAACGAAGTTCGAGAGTGGGAAATCTGCCGCATACCGTCGACTGTACAAAATTAGGGAGGAGGCGGAGAGGGGTATGGCAAGACTAGTGACTTGAAGAATTGTTTTCCACACACAGAGCATCTCGGTGAAAGACTTTTCATCTGTTATCGGAATAGAGATTATTGGGTAGTTATGACTTGATCCTCGGTGGAATTCAGGTTGATCGAAAATGAATTCAAAGAAGCGCTGTCGTTTTGATCGACAAGATTTGCCTTAGGTAAATCGTCGGCGGAAGTTGACCGGTTTCCATGACTGCGTACTCAGCACTTGTCAAAATTACCAACAGTTACGAACGCAACCTTTGTAAAAGGACGGCCCTACAGCAAGTGTTTTTTGGTTAGCGAAATATGGACAAAACTTCATCCTCGAACGGGACTTGAACCCATTTCATGTGCTATAGAGAGGCGAGGGCAAGCGGGGTCCCAGCAGTGTAGGGATAAGAGCTGAATTGCTGAGACATTAAAGCCATTAAGAAGAAAGGGTAAGGAGGGTATCAGTAGTGTAAGGTATACGAGCACGGTACCCGGGTGGCACAAGCACGGATTCGAGACCCGTTCGAGGTCAAGGTTTCCTCCATAACTCGTAACCTTGTAACGCATACTGCGGCCAAATGACATCAGTTGACAAATCATCGAGTCAAAACAAGTTCCCTTCATCTTTCTCCGCTTCCATCAGCAACAATTACACCGATTACCAAACGCGAATAATAAGCAAGAAAATTAGAAACCTAGTTTTGATATACTGTTAGGGTGTTCGGAAAAGTTTGAGAAAATCATGCCTCGAAGCTGTGTAAGCATGTTGCTCTCCATACATCACATCAATACTGAAGCTGATCGTTATTTGACGTGGCTGCTCAAAGAAAGTAATTATCAACCGAAGACGTGCCATCGCCACGACTCCCGGAGCCTGCTGCTTCATCATTACAAAACTGATCGCTTCGATAATAAGAGTTGGAATGAGACATGACATGAGACCTTCCTTGTCACCCACCAATAATGACACCATTGCTTTTTCTGGGAAGGGATTTGTTGGACGAAGTTCATCGGAGCAAACTTTCACTGTCCTTAAATACAGACATTGTTTTGGTTTCCCGTCAGAGCAATCCTACTCGAAGTTTCAGAAAATGGGAACTATGATCTCTACTCCTCCGCGCGCTGCCTGGCAGAGCAGGAGCGTCGAGTGGGAGTCAGTCTGTGTTAGAAGCTCCTCGACTGTAAGCTAACGACGACATCGACCGACTTCACCACATTCATGAAAGGTAGAAGTCGTATGAAACTCCACACAGGAAATCGCAAAAGCCTACCATTGAACGTAAGGCTACAGCTCGCTACAAAGCGAGGCGCTCACGCCATGAAGGACATGAGCTCATTCTTCCTCTGCTCAACCAGGTGTTTTGCTTTGAGAGTCAACAAGAGTGTACGGCGGTATATGCGAAAGTATCCAGTGAACAACAAAGAGAGATGGTGTTTTGAGCCCCCTTTCACACCGATCACAGGGAAATCTATTTATTTATTCATTTATTTCTTTGTTTACTGCACACATGGTGCACTCTGACAAATGCGTTAGTAAGTTCAAACACAACATAGCAAAACATAGAAAAGAAACACAAAAATTCACACAACACCAGCTACAATATGGCACAATTAAAGAAGGCAGTGCAACATTTCCCTAACTTAGCCGAACGAAGAGGCGAAAGAAAAAGAGAAATATCCGTCAGGCCAGCACGCAAAGCCAAAGCAATATCAAAATGGCAAGAGGCAGTCATGTACC